CTTACCCATTTTCTTGAAGTTGGTTTGCTGCTATTGTTGCTGGTGGCTTTAAAATTCCAATTCTCCCAAGACTCCCGCCGCTGCTCCTGCTGTTGTTGGCTTTTAAATTCCCTTTCTCCAAGTCGCAGCATCATGGACGAACTCTCCCGACACCGCTGCTCCCGCTGCTCCCGCTGCTCCCGCTGCTCCCGCTGCTCCCGCTGCTCCCACTGCTCCCGCTGCCGATTACAATCAATTATTTCTTACCCATTTTCTTGAAGTTGGTTTGCTGCTATTGTTGCTGGTGGCTTTAAAATTCCAATTCTCCCAAGACTCCCGCCGCTGCTCCTGCTGTTGTTGGCTTTTAAATTCCCTTTCTCCAAGTCGCAGCATCATGGACGAACTCTCCCGACAGATGTAAAGTGGAAAAAATGCTGCTGGTAGTCTGGAACTCTCCATCTGGGATGATCTGCGGACGTCAAGCCATCTTTCGTGTCGCAGCCGCTCGCACCCAAAACTCGTCAGTGGGCGGCTGACAACGGTAAGTTGGATCGTTGACCGCGACGACGAACTCGTCGCTTCGCATTTCAGCGGATTGGCTCCTTTTCGGTGGACAAACGTCTATCCTTAGCAGCTTGCTTTGTGCTTCCTTTTCAATGGCCGGTCGAACTCCGGCAGCAGCAGCTCTGCATCCACCTTTCATCTCCTGGAAAACTTGGCCGTTTGAAGACGAAGCGCCACTCGCCTATTTTTCCAAGATGGCGGTGTGAGTTCGCACTTCTTACTTCGTTCGTTGCCCGCCGTTTGCATCTGCAATTTGTTGGATTAAAATTAAATTAAAATTAAAATTAAATTAACGATTTAAATCAATTATTTCTTACCCATTTTCTTGATATTTGCTTGCTGCTGTTGTTGGCTTTAAAATTGCAATTCTCCAATTGGCCACGTCCTGGACAAACTCTCGACGATTTCAAAGAGAAAAACTTTGTTGGCAATTCTCCAATTGGCCACGCCATGGAAGAACTCTCCCTATGATTTCAAGCAGAAAAACGTTGTTGGCTTTAAAATTGCAATTCTCCAAGTGGGTCCACGCGGTGGCAGCAACGACTGCAGCTTCGATCTCTCCATTTTTCAACGTCAGCGCCTCGAATTTTGTTCGGTGATCGTTTGATGACGCTTCGTAGTTGGATAGTTGGCCAAAGCGGATTCACTCTATATAAGCAAACATCAAGAAGCTAAACAACGTGGTATTCTTACGATTTAAATCGAGTTCCGGTCGATTCTTTCCACGACGACGAACTCGTCGCTTCGCATTTCAGCAGATCGGCTCCTTTTCGGTGGGCAAACGTCTATCCTCAGCAGGAGCAGCTTGCTTGGTGCTTCGAGTTTTCAACGACCAACCGACCGACCGATCGAACGGCGGTGGCGGATTGAACTCTCCACCCTTGACAATTCTGGTCAATTCTTATCG